GGGCTGTTAGAGGGAGGTAACCCAACCGCCTCCCATCGAGAAGCGGCGGAGGATAAATGGTGTTTCCGCTGAAAAGAAAACGAAATGCACACGCGAAAAGAAATCCTCAATGAGAACAAGAAAGAGGGATGGCACCCCAATTCCCAAAGCTGCGGGTTAGTCGGTAATCAAGTCATTTACTGCGCAGTTCTTTGGAGTTGCTACTCGAACTGCGAATATACGTGACGAAGAAACATCCAAGGTGGTTTGATGACAGCCGTGGTTACCGATGCCGCTTGCCCCAGGCTATGATTGGCTGGCAATGGCAGCAAATCCATGTCTATGGGTCTTGGCATTAGCATCTGTTTGCGGAACTAGGAACAAAGCGGCGACAAACCAAGATTCCCACATCACGCGGAGGTGTTGTGGCTGGTGCTGCAAACAGAACAAACAGAACAAACATTTGCACTGAACTTGCTTCAACATTGATCAGTAATTTTCTTTCGTATGTGAGTGTGTATAGACCTCCCTAAGAAGCAGGATTTAGTCGAAAACGATAAACGTATAATCCATTCAGAGGGGTCATGTTCCCTATTCGTGAAGCAGCAGGCTCCACAATTCGTTCATCGTTTGTGGATGGAACTCATGTATACTGCCCGTGATCCATGCTGGTGTTTATAGTATATATATATCTCTATGTATGGTCGTCTCCAAAATAGTTGGAAAATGTAATGTACAGTGCAATGTTAACGTTTCTACAGAACCGCATCCTTCTGGTGTCGGGGAGCCCAAATCGAGCAACGCCGTTCCATATCCCTTTCATATTAGGGCATTGTATCGATTCAACAGGTCCTTTATTTCCCCTTGCCAGTGGCCAGCCTCCATGGCTATCACGCGAGAGGTCTTGCCATCTCCTGTCTTCATACCTCGTGTAAACGTCGGATGTTTCAATACCTCTTTTAATAGGATTGGATCACCTAGCTTCGCCGCATAGTGCACTGCAGCCCACCAGCTGCACAGGACAATGTCGCCGACATCATCAAGTTCCAGGAGGACCATAGACGAGAGACGACAGTCAATACTTTCATGGCGTAGTGCCTCAATCAGTGCCGTATTTCCGTCGTTGTTCTTCCGCGTTAGGATCAATTTTCCATCGCCTGGCAGCTGCAACAGGGCTTCCAGTGAATCACTCTCCCCTTGCATGCAAGCATGGTGAATTATGCTATTCCCAGAATTATCCAACAAATCTAGCTTCGCTCCGTGTCGAGTCAGACACTTCATGCACTCCATATCGTCCACAAAATCAAATATGGGCGGCCTTCCATCCTCATCTTGCGCGTCAATGTCCAATTTGGCCGTATTGCTTGTGTTGCATAATAACGCCACTGTCTCACACTTCTTCTCCCCACGATCTGAAAGACCTGCATAATGCAACGCAACTTGCTGATTCTCCTGTCTCACATTCGGATCTGCGCCCGCCTCAAGGAGGAGTTTTACGCAGCCCACCAAACATCCCTGCGCAGCCATAATAAGTGGTGACTCCCCCCACACGTTACTCTGATCGATATTCAACAGATCCGGATACCGTTTATGTATCTCCAGCGCATAGCTCAAGCTCTCCAGCGCATTCGACTCCACTGCTGCATGTAAAATGTTCGCATTTAAGTTCGATTTTATAAACGGATCCGCACCCGTATTCACAAGAATCTTCATTTTATCCGCTTGCCCCGTGGCACTAGCCCAATGCAGCGGCGTCCAGTGGAACTTACGATCTTTCTGATCGACTAGGTTCTGTATGATTTTGCCTGTATCTGGGTTTTCCGCTGCCGAAACCCGGAACTGCTCGATGATTGTGACGAACAGAGGGGATCGTTTTTGATATTTCGCTTTCCAGTGAGACCAATTGGTGCCTTGTGGGGCGTTGTTGGCATGATCGACGAAGTCAATGAGTTCCTCAAGGGTGGGGCGTTCCAAGTCTTCGGGGTCGTAGAGATCCAGGACAGCAATGTGAATCGGGGTGAATTCATAGTCGTCGATATAATCGTCTTGTTTGGAGAAGACTTGGACGATGTCCTTTTCGGTTTGGGTAGCATCTGCTCCGCGAGATTTCAGAAATGCGAAGTCAACTGGCTTTCTAAAACAAGGAAAAATATTAAACAGTTAGCTGATGAGAGGCAATATTGGAATTCCGAAAGGTCGGGTTGAAGATGGTTGCAGACCTTGCTCCAAGATCAGATACTTCAGTCTCCGCACTTAGTTTAACAAGGTACTGCACGGTTGGCAAATGTCTCGCGTACGCGGCAGTCTAAAATAATCGCCATGAGAGCCCAGTTGTCAGAAATGAAACCAATCATCAATAAAAGTAACAACGTTGAGTTTACACGGAAAAAAACTTACGTGCAACAAAGACCATCCATCCGGCGCCGTATCCCAAGGTGTTGCCTCACCCGACTCAATCGCTAATTTCAACTTCTCTAGGTTTCCATGTTTGACATATCGCATGGCATTGGATCCCTCCGGCACCATACGGTAGGTACTTAGCCGATATCGAACCTGGATACTGCTCGTCGACATCATATTCGATATGGCCTTTTTGAAGAAAGAGACTGGGATGGGCTTTTCCTGAGAAATTGTTGCTGCACAACCTGGATCTGAACACTCAACTTTGGGCTTGTTGTTTTCTCGAAATACCCGCGCGTTGAACCGTGATGGCGGTGTCTGGGATTCACCAGTAGTGGGTTCATCATGGCATTTACAGTAACAATCATGTCGGCATGCGCGACGGATGATCAGTGAACTCGTTGAACGCGAGTCCACTAATGTGCTTGATTGGGGCGATACGTCACTCCCTCGTCGGTCGCTGCGGCCTGGCACTGACAGAGTGTTTCCAAACGAGGTAGAGGTGGTGATGGAAGAATTTTTGGACGATATCGAGCTTCGAGATGACGGTTGTGATGATCCGAGAGACATTGATATTATGGAGGATGAATTCGAAGACGGATATCTCGAAATGAGAGGTGATCTTGATTCCGACATATCGCTGGGGAATTGAGGCTCGCTTGCCATCTCCTCAACAACAGTCGAACATGCTTCTAAGAGTTGTGGGTGCTGATTACACACAGCGAGGAACGTCTCCCTGTAGAGGTTTTAGCATTTAAATAAATTATAGGGAAGTGGGTAGGTTCTACGGACAAATGCGCCAGTGATACAAAACTATGTAATTGTGCACACTGGCTTTTGATCTGCTTAGCAAGCGTTTCAAAACGTGACTTATTCTGGACGAATCTAACCCGACGTAAACTGGAGTTTTCGGTCTTATAAACCTGCTTTATCCTCTTCTCAAGATCTTTAACGGTGGCCGATCCATCATTGATAGCTGTTCGAAGAATCTTCTCGGAGATATTGTGCTTTGTTTGGCGGCTACGTAGGACACGATCAAAGCCTCTCAGTGCTTCCTCGAAGATCTCAAGGTCATGCACGAGCTCGAAGAGGTCCTTCGGCGCATGTTTATAACTTTTGATGAGGTCAAGGGTTCCTTTGCTTGCCTTGAGGAGAGTACCAATGGACGCGATTAATCCGATAGCCGAGACAGGGTCCATAATTCAGTCATATCTCACACCCGATCCCCAGAAGACGTCACCAGCAAGTCTTGAACGGTTCAAAGTAATGTATACTCCATATGCATGTTGAAGATGCGATGCTTTATCGGTGTTTCGTTTTGGCATGTTCAAAATCTTAGACTTGTCCATGCGCGATGTGCCAGACTAGATCAGGAGGCTGAGGAGAGCGACCGGAGAGACAAGGCTGTCTCATCCCTGGCCTGGATGAGTTGACCCCCTCATTCTATGCACGTCGTTCGACGGTTCAATACGTTGTTGGGCGTCCCGCACGCTAATTTGAGCCTGTGCCCATGACGGTGATGGGCATGCCTTGCCTGCATTGGCATCTAGTAGCAATCGCCCGCCGTCATGTTTGATGGGCTGTCGTCAACTGCCAAGGAGAGAGGCCATAAGTTCCATATTAGCGTTCCCGTAAGTTAGCCTTGCCCCCAATGACATTGTTTGCTCTCGGCCAATCGATTGGAATGTCAATACAAGAATCATCCTGCAGAGGGGAGATGTTCTCCATGCTGTGCACAGTAAGTTGGCCAACAGTTGGGAAGCGCTTCGCCCTAGTCTGGTGCTCAAGCAGAATATCCCAGCCTCGTAGAAGGTCGTTTGAATCCAACCCCGCTCATCTTGGGATGTTAACCATGCTGGACCACGGTCGATAAATGTCCTTCCCTATCATTTCTGTTAAAAAAAAGGTTTAATCGCTTGAGACTCTACATCTCTGCGGGTATGGCGCCATCTCTTGGCCCTGTTTTGCCGGATGCGCTGTCCCCATCTCTCCACCTCGACCACCCGACTGACACGGAAAATAAGGCGATTTGGACGCTCACATCCAATTCGTGGAAGGATGCTCTTCCCGCGGATGTCTACCTCGAGGAATCGTTACATCTCATGACAGTCCCTTTAGCGAAGGACGGGGGAATGACCCAGTGGGTACTTGTGGATAAGAACCTCCTACGAGAGCGAAGGCCCCTCCTGGCTTCTTGCGAAACATTTCGTAAACGCTCCTGGGTCAGCGATACATATGGAAATGTTGCCGAGTTCATTACCCACGGAGTTGCCAGTGTCTATTGTGACCCCCGATATCGTGGTCGGGGTTATGCCTCACGACTGATGAAAGAACTGGCAGAGGTGCTACCCAAATGGCAAACGGCCAAAACCAAAGAATGTATCGCCAGCGTCCTATTTTCAGATATCGTCAGGCGATTCTACACAAACCTCAAATGGTATGCCTTTCCAAGCTATCATGTTGAGTTCCCTCCGTGGGTACCGTCAGCTGGGGCATCGCCAACTGCGACGCCGCTATTCGCAGGTGATCTCGCGAAGCTCTGCAAACAGGACGAGGCACTCGCTCTGAAGACGATGGCTACACCGCGCACATATCACATGCTCTGGCATCATGCAAAAGAAGAGTTTGCCACTAAGGTCCTCCTCAACTTGCAACCGCAGGTAAAAGGTGCGATTTCTGGAGAGCGTGGGAATCGTATCTGGGCGATCTGGGACGCACCGGGTTCTACGAATCTCCCCAGAACACAATATCCAACAACACTCTCTATATCTTGCGGCTTGTAATCGAAAACCAAGATGCTTCTAAACAATATCACGGTGGGA